TCCATCAAACGAAACTAACCGTCCTATCAAGTCAAATCCTAGCAGAGAAGCTGATAAATGAGTTTTCAGAAACACAGCAGCATTTTCATCTTCTGTTAAAACAATACTAGTTAGGATTAAAAAATATAAAATAATAAAAAGAAAAAACATAAAAAACACAGGAAATTCTATTAAAGTCAACATAAATGAAAACCACAAAATGAAATCCATCAAACGAAACTAACCGTCCTATCAAGTCAAATCCTAGCAGAGAAGCTGATAAATGAGTTTTCAGAAACACAGCAGCATTTTCATCTTCTGACTTCTGTTAACAATAAAATATTTATTATTCTGACTGAAACAACAATTATTGATTTTAATAAACTTCACTGAATTAMAACAAAAACTGTTTCTGTCAGAGCTTTCACCCTGAGGCTAAGAATCCCATAATCCAAAACATAGGTCATCATTTTTTGTCCTCGCTGTGCAGAGATGCTTATCACCATGGTAACAGAGTAACTGGTGTTATCGCCATGGAAACATGTATTCAACGTGGACAGAAATACGTGATGGAAAGAATAAAGGCACTCTGAAGAATGGTTAGCAGAGGTTTTTATTACAACAAACAAGAAGACAGAAAAAGACGTGACGTTCAGCAGGATGTTTACAGAAGTAGCTAAACATGGATGCTACATGTTAGCATGTTAGCATGTTGAGTTTGTTTAATCAGAACCAATGAAATAATGACCTGAAATACTTGTTTAYTGTTTCTATCTGAACTGCCTCTGCTGCAGCATTTTAACTCTGGAACAAAGTGACTAAAGGTCAAATAACTAGCATGGATATGGTCTGTGACGGCTCGACGGTACCATCATGTCTTAGTCATCCAGGACACGGAAAATGGAAAGACTCAAGACGAAGCTCCCAGACTTGTAACTGTGTGGAGTTCCAGATTAAACCTGCAGGACTCCAGGTTAGTGGACTCATCCACTCACCTCTACCTGACTGAGGTCAGCCAGATTCAGACGGAAACATCAGATATGATCTGACTCAGGGCCACAAACTGAAAACAACAAAAACCTGATTCATGGAGAAATCCTTCTGATTGGATCTGTGTTGGTGTGAACAGCCTTAACTTGTCCTGACGAAGCTCCATTTAACCTCCTGTACTCACTAAACCTAACCTGAACACAAACTGTCCAGAAGAATTAATAAAATATTTTTTCTCTTTATATANACTGAGGCACCACTTGTTGGGTAACAACTTGTGGAAATCCTGCTTGGTTTTATAGTACCTGAGTTAAGTTGCCCCCATCCTTCCAATTCTGTTAGATTTGAACAAGATGGCGTGGGGGGATTCACTCAGGTGTTTTAAACTGACTCTGGATTCTTTGATCATGATGGTGATTCGAGCCCATGTGGACTGTGGACAGGTGTAAAAGCTGTGGCCAGTCGGGACTCATTCTGCAGAAGAATCTTCAGAATCTAGAAAATCCATTCTGGGTTACATACTGGATATGATCCCATACACAAAACTACCCGGTAGAAACGTTGTTTAAGAACCGAACTCTATTTTTATTTTTACTTTTTCAAACCGTGGGGAAAGAGCTCTATTTTTGGTTGTATTTTATTTTCAACAAATTGTAAACTGTCTGCTTCTAATTTCTGTTTGGAAGAAATAAAATAATCAGTTCAACATTCAGCTTGTGTGTGGCCTGTTCTCTCTTGGTAGAACCTAGTACCTGTTCTATACTGGTCTACTGTGAGTGCGCTACAATAATAAAACTGTAATAAATGACTGTACAGTGAAGTGATTCTTGACTGAACCGTTCTCTTGTTGGATCATTTCCTGATGTTCAGTCCAGGATTGTCTGAGGTGTTCCCTGAATGAAGCCTTACCTGATGTCATGTGAAGGTGGCAGCTATCGGAACAGTCTGGTGAACTCTCTGATGGCCCAACACACCTGTTTACACTCCTCAGCACTGAAAACACAACAAACACAAACTGATTCCACTTCAAACCTTACTGTCACAAACTTTGTCTTTCACTGTTTAAAAAAGGTTCAAGTTCCCAATGAAGCACTTCTCTGCTGCTGCTCAGGTGAGCTCAGGTGAGCTCAGGTGAGCTGTGACTTCAGGACGAGTCGAAACTCTCCCCCATGGACTCCAGATTTTTAAGGTTCTACCTTCAAATGAGCAAGACTCCAGAAAGGTCTCCCTGCTTTCATACAGGTCCCTGAACGCCTCAGTTTCTGTAAACTGGACAGGTCCCTGAACGCCTCGGTCTCTGTAAACTGGACAGGTCCTTGAACGCCTCGGTCTCTGTAAACTGGACAGGTCCTTGAACGCCTCGGTCTCTGTAAACTGGACAGGTCCTTGAACGCATCAGTCTCTGTAAACTGGACAGGTCCTTGAACGCTTCAGTCTCTGTAAACTGGACAGGTCCCTGAACGCCTCGGTCTCTGTAAACTGGACAGGTCCTGAACGCCTCAGTCTCTGTAAACTGGACAGGTCCCTGAACGCCTCGGTCTCTGTAAACTGGACAGGTCCCTGAACGCCTCGGTCTCTGTAAACTGGACAGGTCCTTGAACGCCTCGGTCTCTGTAAACTGGACAG